GAGAGAAGAAAAAAAAACACAACTGATAATTGTGTTCCTATGAATGATTTACTGTAATTACCTGGAGCCCTTTAGTTCCCCAAAATGCAGTTCAACTAAAATTGTTCCTATTTCCTGTGGTGCCAAAAGAGACTTCTGTCAATATTTCTCAGAGCTATGAAAACAGTCCTCCTATGTAAAACTATTATCTCCTGATGTAGAGTTGTCCAACCCTGCACAATAGGATCTACCAGTAATCTCAGTGTGAGCAAATACCAATCGGCAACATCCCGCTCTCCCTTTTGAAGGTAATACGGAAATAATTGTAACCGCAAATATTTGAATTTTTGCTAGTCCTGGCTCCATAATAGAGCACATTTCTATTGACCCCACTGTTAAAATGGCCAACTTTACAGCAGAAAAGGTGTATAGAACAGTGATGTGAAACAATATCATACAGTGTTATGCCTGTATTTCTGAAATAGCCTTGCATTTACCAACAATTATGATGGTTGACCACACCTACTTGTAGCTTTATTTGTGCTCTTTAGAAACCTATGGGAGTTGTCATGCTTACTACTTTCATATCTTTTACGGTCTATGGCGAATACAAACAATAAAGTTTTACATGATATTTTCTGTACATTAGATGTCTTCTCGGGTCCTGAAATACATACCTGATGTAGAACGCACGGAAAGTGGCCGCATAGAGAGACACTGCAGTGCTGCTGAAGATTGTGGGTGTTTACAGCACTTTGATGGATAATTATGAATTTTTAGTGGTGTCAAATAGCATCCTTGTTTATGTGCTTGCTACAACATACAGTTAACACTAGACACTATGCATGTAATAGATCAATTTTAACAAATAGAAATACTTACAGGCTGTGGCTCACAATTCACAGCTTATTCTATTATGGTTGGAGCTGGAGAGATTCTGGAAGCTGTACTTTGTCGAATGCTAGCTATATATATTTTTTATAATTCTCTGGAACATTATTAAAATTAAACTGTAAGCACTTCTCTCTTTGTGTTGTGTCCTTTGGAAGCCCAAATACAGAAACAGAAGAATCTCTGTGGAAATAGCAGTGTTTGGAAATTTTTTGGCATTTTAGCTTTATCTGCTATAACATTACAGCGCCTCTGGCCACGCCTCTTTGCAGCACAAGCTGTAATCGCATGGTGTATGCGCATACCCAGATAACCTTTTTTGTAGTTACCAAACTTTGTTCGCTGTAGGCTTTGCTAAGCTAACTCTGTAAAAGCCATTGTCCCCAATACATTCGGAGAGGTTGTTTATGTTCACACAGCTACAACACATCAACTAAAGTTTAAAATATGATATCATAGTGGACTAACCCTTTAAGTAGAATGAAGTTCCTACTGTATAACTACCTGGAGAGAAAGTCCCTTTTTTGCCGACTAGAATTGGTTTGAAATGGACTTCTCTGGTTTCATTTAAATTTGGTGATTGTTGGCATCTGTTTGGTATATTGTTAATTAGTCTTAATTCGAATAACAATTTTTCCAAAGGCGACAATTGTTCAGAAAAGGCTTATAGCTCTTGAAGGAAAAATTCTTTCAAAAATTATAATTCTGGTATAATAAATTTCACAAATTTACTGCCTAATGGTATTTGGACATGAAACTACTCAATGCACAGGGCAGCACACTTTAAAACATCCCCAACAAAACAATATGCAGTTTTTCCCACAACAACCACTTGGAATGAAAGTGTGTACAGGACAAGGTAGTATCATCAAGTTGATGGCAACAACTACTGGCAAACCTTCTTACCAAGAAAAATTCTCCGCAATGAAAAATGCATCATTTTCGAGAGCTCCAGACTTTAAAAGAAAAACTGCAAAGATTTTGCAAAAGTCCCAAGCCACTGAGGACGTCCCAGCCAATCAGACTGGCAGAAATCTACAAAACACAGATCCAGAGGGATGCCACACAGCCAGCTGGCTTTGATGTGACAGGCACACAGATTCTGCTGTTGTGAGGGAAACTGTGAAACTCTTCACCCAATAACACATTAAAAACAATCCCTGAAAAGGAGGGTCACTTCAAAGGTGCTCGCAGCATTCACGTTTCCTTTCCTCCGCTCCGTTTTATGTCCCGATGGGAGCTGCCGTTCTCTTATTGCAGCCCACCAACTGAATCCAGCCCATGAGAAATTTGCCCACTTTCTTACTATCTCCCTGGCAACCGTCATCTTTGATGAAGCGAGAGCCAGTGGAGGAGAACACACTTTAAATGAAAATGCCTTTAAAATACATTCACACAGATGAAAAACAGGCCAACATTCTAATTTAGGCAGCACTAATGCACATGGATGCACATGCCTTATTTATAAAGAAAGTGTATGCATAATATACAGAAGAGGCCTTAAAAAAACAACACACAAGGAATCCAGGGAGAAAGAAAGGGGCAAATACTACAGTATAAGATGGCTTGCCCATTTAAAAAAGACAAAACAATTAAAGGCCTTCTGTGGTACTCTAGATACACTTTATAATGACCTCATACTGGAAAATTGATTCCCTTTCCACTTATAGTTTCACTGACAAACGTTTACATAAAAGTTTGATGGGCACAAATAAATCACAATAAACCTTAAACTTACAAAGGATTTATTGGCTGGCTACTACGGTATGAGAGGTTCGGAAGTCTGATAATGTGGTCTTTGTGGCTAGTTATTGGTCAAAGGTAAAATAGCCATGTCTAAAGTCTTTATAATTAAGAGTTTCCAATATGGACCTTGCACTTCATTTATTCATTTTCTTTTTGGTTTAGTCTTTTTATTAATATGGGGTTGCAACACCGTAATCAACCACCAACTTATCCAGTATATGTTTTACGCAGCAGATACACCCATTCACACTATTTTACACATACACTACAGCTCAGGTGGGCAACTCAGTCAATATTACCCAAAATCTCTGAGGAATATTTCCAGTACCTTGTTGAATTTATGGCGTGAAGGATTAAGGCAGTTCTAAAGGCAAAAGTGGGTCCAGCCCAGTACTAGTAAGGTTTACCTAATAAAGCAGCCGTTGAGTGTATTTTCGTTCATTTGCATATGTTTACGCAGTAAATGACCTTCCTAGGCAGTAAATGATATATATATATATATATATATATATATATATATATATATATATATATATATATATATATATATATATATAGTTGAAGTCAGAATTATGAGCACCCCTGTTTATTTTTTTTCACCAATTTCTGTTTAGCAGACAGATGATTAAACATAAACATAATAGTTTTAATAACTGATTTATTTTATCTTTGCCATGATGACAGTAAAAAATATTTGACTAGATATTTTTCAAGAAACTTCTACACAGCTGAAAGTGACACTTAAAGGCTATATATATATATATATATATATATATATATATATATATATATATATATATATATATATATATATATATATATATATATATATATATATATATATATATATATATATATATATATATATATATATATATATATATATATATATATATATATATATATATATATATATATATATATATATATATATATATATATATATATATATATATATATATATATATATATATATATATATATATATATATATATATATATATATATATATATATATATATATATATATATATATATATATATATATATATATATATATATATATATATATATATATATATACATATATATATATACATACATACATACATACATACATACATACATACATACATACATACATACATACATACATATACATACATACATACACACACACACACACACACACACACACACACACACACACACACACACACTACGGCCAATATAGTAATCTTTGGACTTTCAATTGATTATAACTTTTTAAAAAGTAAACAGCAGTCATGATGTTGTATTGTTGTATATTAATTGCAAATGTTAAATATATAATTTACCTGTAAGTGTGCTGAAATGAAAAAATGCAAGTCATTAATGCAACATATTCTCTAATATTATTATTTTATACTTCTTATTACTATTCTGTTCATATACTCCCGTATCAATAGTTTGCCTCAGTAGTTACAGGTTTGGTCCCCAACAATGATGATGGGTCTGACAGGCTTGTCAGGCACTGTCCAATGTTTTTTGACATACATGGCTGGTTGATGCACTGGCATTTTGCTAACATCTGCAAAAATATGTTTTACCCAAAGGTAGTCACTTTAAACTTGTACTTTGACAGACGAACAATTCATTGCTAATATAAGTGCCCACAACTTTGGTTTTAAAATGTTTCCAAAATTGCCATTCAACACACCAGGCATTGTGTATTCAGCCATGACAAATGGTAATTGTTAACCTTAATGTACAAATTTCTCATACAGTGTATGACTGAGGTGCTATAAAGTTTACCTATTTTATAACTAAATGGCTAAACAAAAAAAATTTGTTGCTAAACTAAAAACACTGTTGCTGACTCCTGAACAACCATTTACTTATTGAATTGTTTCATTATTATGCATCTGAGAAGCATATATGAACCATAATCAACAGGTGTTAATTCACAATTTTTTTACTGTGTGATTTCTGCCTATTTTATCCCTAGCTAAAAAATTGTACATTTGATAACTCAAATTTTGATTTATTACAAATTATTATATTATTATTTTTATAAATCATCACCACTTTATGTTTTGATATGATAGACAGCATATCTGTGATTTCATTGTTCAAATCATACCTATCAAAGCATTATCAATTTTTTTGCAGTAAATGAAGAGTATCAAATCAAGCACATGTTTGTAACCACAAGGCTCAGTACTTGAACCATTGCTATTTTAGAGTACCAAAATATTTTTCATTTTGATGTGTTAATGGGTTGCTTAGTGTTTAATGTGTTTAAAATCCGGGTCCTGCTAAGAACAGCTGGTGTAATGCATTTACTCAGCTTTAGATCAACAAAAGAAAAAATCATCTTTAGACAGTAAAAATGAAACACTCACCGCGACTGCCTCAAGCACTTGTTTAACTGCATCAGCCGCATCTCGTTCGCTGTAGTAGCCTTTCTCCACCACCCTGTAAAAGGAAAAGTACAATTTGGTCTCAAGTGTAACTCTGTATCGAATGTAATAACGCTCCCTGACTTTTTTTCCAATTTTCACTTCATTATTTTTCAGCCTTAGTGTGAGTCAACCAAACCTAAGCGCACAAGGTGAATGGAGAGTTTCTATCGATTGTTCTTAAGAAGAGGACTTTTTAAAATGACTCATGCTGACACAACTTTTTTGAAATGAGAAATAAGATAATACTGAATGAGAAAAAAAACATTGAGTGAATAACTGTAAAATCAGTGGGTTGCAAAGTTGTTGCCTTGATAAAGTGTCATACAGCTATGCGATTATAAAACTCAACTGGAAAGTAAATTCAGGTCCTACAGTGTGTTACTCTAAGCTATTTTCTATCTATCTATTACATAACAAATGATGAAAAACTTTAGTTACAAATAAAAAAGAAAACTTTAAAATAACAACTAATTGAAAATACAAATAAAAGTGATTAAATTTACTCAATGATCTGAAAGATAGAAGAATCATGAAATCATGAAAGAATGTAGAATCATTTTATTGTTAAGACATATCATTTAATACCGTTTAAAGGGTCATGAAATACCATAACAGATTTTTTGAGATGTTGACAGCCATATATGTGCCCCATGCTGCTAAAAACACTATTAGAACAGATATATTTCACTAAAAAGTGCACATTGTACTTGTACATGTGTAATGACAATAAAGTTGAATCTAATCTAAATAAAATCTAAAAATTAGTTGTTTTTGCATTTTGAGCAAATTCGTTCTTCCAGTTTGAAAATAAATGTTGAAGCTACATCAAGGCCATGAGATCCTTGTGTAAATTCTAGCGTGGAGACTGGATGTCTGTAACAGTCGGACTACATGATGTCTTTGAGTTTTCGTCATTAATTCATGAGAAAGACATGGTTCGAACCAATCAGCACGGTCTATTGTGAATGAGGTGCAACATCATTACAGTTTTTCTTAGTGGCTTTGGTGCATTTCTCAAAACACTATTTACATTTGCATAACAAATAATGCATTTCCTAAAATAATTAGTCATTTGTGCACATCATAGTAGCAGTTTCTCATTCCTTACAACAAATTGAAAATGCTTTTGGACATGCATGAATTGCTTTTGTACAACTTCCTGCTGTTTTATAACATTATCATGCTTATGTCATCTCAGTCAAAATGAACAAAACTTGTGAATGCTGAATAGTCATTTAAAATAAAACTAATAGTCCTCATTTCATTACTTAAGTCATTACATACAAAAATGTTGAAATAGTTGTCAAAATCTTTCAAGAAAATTTTATATGAAAAAAAAAAATCTTTATTTTCCTGAAAAAGTCTTAAAATGTTAACAATTTTATGAATGATTTACAGACATGTGTATGTTGTAGGTTCAGTTCCATTATGTTCTGCAATATTGTTGACAGTTGTACACAGTTCAACCCAAAGGAAGTTTATGTTTGTTGTAAATAAGGATGTATTTATGCTTTTGCACAATGCTGTAAATAAATTAGAATTGCAACGAGCATTTAAAGAAAAAATGTGAAACATACATATTCAGTGTCGCACTCATATACCTCACTAAATGCAGTGATGTCTAATTTTACTGTAGATTTCAAATGGCTGTGCAAATAGTATATAGTGCTGTCTTGAGCATTTTCAGGAAGTGTCACCAAAATCTGACTTTTAAGCATTGAAAAAAATGTACAGAGTAAACTGTCATGATGAAAACATGATAAAGCCATTTGACTATCTTGTTCAGAAACATTGTTGTCAGGACTTTTCATCTTGATGACACTGACACTTTCATTGACATCAATACTTGCTTTTAAAGAATGAGCTATCCATTTTAAGCAAGTGACAAACTTTTGCAGATTATCAGCTAGGTTTTGCAGTTTGCACTAATTGTTTTGAAGAATGCATTAACTATTGTGCAAATGTAAATAGTGTTGTGAAAAATTGCACCAAAGCCGCTGAGAAAAACTGTAAAATTCATGACAGCCTCGAAGACTGTTTTTACCTGTTACAGTGTTCAGAGAGATGCAACGTTGTGTTGCCAACTGTAATTAAAATAAGTGGAAGAAGAAGAATTGTTTGGAGAAATAGGTCATCAGTGTTGTGTTTATAAATGTGCCGCAGTGAAGATTTTGTTTCCATTTTCCCACAATGAGAGCACTGCTCCTTGTGGGCCCACATTTTACTGTGGATTACAGTGGTCTGCTAACACGTGATAAAAATATGTTTGTAATGAACATTTGTTACCCGAGAGCTTTTCGCTGCATTTTGTGACAGGATAGTCTATACACACACGGCTGTTCGATGATATTCTCTGCACTTACCGAGTCTCCTACCAATCGTGCCGTATTAAAAAATTCCATTAAAACTACATTCTTCCAGCAGTTCCTCGCATCCAATATCTTATTTGTCACGGGGGGCATGCATAAAATGTTTCTAAATGAAAATGAAAGTGCCAAACTGCAGTTAAAGTCAACAAATTAAGAATGAAACACCCGAAATTACATGAAACTCTGGAAGAAGTCTTATTAGTGAGGTGATCCAATGAGGTTAATCGAATTATGTGCTATAACATGTAAAACAGGATCATGAAAGGAACATTTAAAAAGCAATTCATGTAACCACTTTAATCATGTCTTATTCAGATTAAGACAAATAATTAGATTTTTGGGTGTCCATGTAAACGTAGTCACTGTATATCTCCCCTGCATCTGTGTTTGTGTTGCCACAGTGAAAATCAGCGCACACTCGAACTGAAACTCCCCTCTTCATGCAAACCCTTCCCGCTTTCGCCCCTCGACACTCCCACCTAAACAAAACTGGACTCACTCACTTGCATAATTATATGCAAAATTGGATTTAAATACTTTTTAAAAATCCTAATAATTAGAAAAATATTTCTTATATTCTAATAATATAGAATATTCCTGTCCTGAATGTGTTTTCATATGATTCATATGATTCTTCAGTGACCCCCCACCCCCATCCCCCTGAATGAAGGTATGAAATCTGAAGCACAAAAAAAAACCTGACTCAACGTGTGAATAATAGAAATAGTGATGCTTGCCTTAGCAAACACTATTAATTATGCTTCTGAGGAAAAGTGTCAATGCACAGCATGGAGTTCACAACTTAATCAGCCTTTATTAGCATGTAGCACTTTACCCCCATGGTGAACTGACCTGTCAAACAATTCTCCGCCGGTAACAAGTTCTAACACGAGACTAATCTCCGCAGGGGTCTCAAAGATCTCCTTTAGTTTGATCTGACAGAAAGTGGCATGAAAAAAAGAGAGAGCGTTTCACTGGAGGAATTCAAAAGCATCACATGATTAATTAATGATGTAGTCAAAGGAAGCAATCTTTGGCTAACATTTGCATAACCAGACCTTACTAAATCAAACACAGACAGTAATGCAAAGACAGAATAAATCTAAGCGAAGGTTCTTGTAGATTTATGCATATTTTAGGCTAGATAACTTTCAAAGGACACAAGTAGACATGGCCCTGGAGTTTTCCCCTTTAGACTTACTATATTTGGATGAGAGAGGCGCAGTAATACACCAATCTCCGTTCGTACAATCTTCTTGTCAACCTGTAAGAACAAACAAGTTTTTGCCAGAGTACAAAATTATCTGAGTGCACAAAGCTATTACAATCACATAAAGCATAATAGCAAAATCAACGCAGCACAGAAATAATAAAAAAGAAGTAAATCAAACATATTTTTCATTTCTAAAATGTTTTTAATTTTCATTTCTAAAAGGAATATTCTGTCTCCATTTACTCTAGAGTACCAAACTTACAACAAAAATGACAATGTATTGTGTATAATGTTCTGGCTCTTTTCTTTCCAAGTTTGTCATTGTTTTGTTTGGAGTTTAAAGTCCACATCAAACAGAGCTGCTGGGACTTTTAGCTCAGTATGCTGATGGACTTCCAACTGAAGTGAAATATTAAGTAGGAAGATGGGCTTTCTTGTTGTTAAGGATGTACTGATATGGATTTTTGGGCCGATATCGATAACCAAAAATTCCTTAGATTTGGAGGCCGATAACCGATATATTAGCTGATAAATATCTCAAAATATTATGTATTTACTATTTATACAGTGAACAACTGATTTTATTTTAGTTTGATAGAAAAGCCTACTCAAAGTAAAAACAGCTATAATTTCAAAGCTGCAAGGTGATTATATAGATCTATTCATGATGTTACATAAATCAAAATTGTTTTCTTCGCTTAGCAAATTAACAAGCAACTTGACTTTTGCATAAAAATAAATGTTTGGTAATTAAATCCCGTTTTGTTACATAACCAAGTTAAATAAATATATTTAAAATAAAATGAAAACGAAAATGAAAGAACTAAGAACTAAAACCAGCACAAATCTTCTTGAATAAAATTTGTTACAGTAATGTACAACTGTTAGTCATTTGACACTTTTATTACCACACTCCCACAAGATTCTCTCGTGCTTACACAAAGTTATTTATCCTTCATTTTGGTACTTTAGCGCATCTTTTTTGGACCTGTATTCAAATTCAGAATTTTAGGTTGGAAATATTTCAGTTCTTTGCTAAATTTTATGATTATGTTTTACACCCTGACCCAATGATCACAATTTTTGGCTGGTCCGATTTTCTGGAGACTCTCAACCGAAATGTACGGTTATCTGTTCAGTATGGCATGATCATAGCTAAAAAAGTTATCCTTTTTGGAAAAAAAAATGGTAGGCCACTTTTTTCTGACTGGCTTATTGGACTCACCTCCACTTTACATTTGGAAATAATTAGATATACCACCTCTGGAAACTCTAAATTTGATAAAATGTAGGATCCAGTCTTTTTTTTCCTAAAACACCATAAAGACTAATAATGTTGTTTATTTCTAAAGATTTGTAAGTTTTTACATCCATTGCTGTGTCTTTTTGTAGGTCCTAAACAGTTGAAGTCAGAATTGTTAGCCCCCCTGAATTATTAGCCCCCCTGTTTATTTTTTTCCCAATGTCTGAACTTTTGTTTCAATACATTTCTAAACAAAATAGTTTTTGGAACTCATCTCTAATAACTGATTTATTTTATCTTTGCCATGATGACAGTAAATCATATTTTACTAGATATTTTTCAAGACACTTCTATACACTACATTCACAGAACAAAATGAGCATTAATAGCAAAAAACTAATGTAAATATTATCCTGCTCGCTTTTTGAGCATTGTCAAGCAAGTTCTTACACACATTCTGTTTAATTCTGTCACATTCTGTCACATGCTCAGCAGAAAAGCGATTGGCTCAAACAGTCAGCCAAAGTGGCTCTGGCGCTGTTCAGCAAACAATAACACGGACACTGATGTTAAACGACGCGGCGATCAGCTGATCTATTACAGACAGCAACGCGGTGGAGAAAACTCGTTCTGTGGACATGCTCAAAAAGTGACGTGTGATCCAAAAGTAACTTTATTGTTGTAACAGCCGAAAGAAGAGATAAAAAGACTGTCCAGCAAAAAGATTGTCCAGGAAACTCACAAGCAGTGAATTGTGTACAGTTATCTGCTTCTTAAGTAGTTGGAGTGTTTTACACAATTTATGACAATTTAAACAACTATAAGCTATATAAGCAGAATAATTGACATTTTTATTTATCATTTTGAGAAATTTGTCATGTTTTTGTCCATAAGATTCTTTTTGTAGGATTATATTCACATCACTTAACTTAAACATTTTGTTCTGGTTAACATATTTATTAGTACTTTGGACACTGTTTTGTGGGGTTTGAAAAAACAAAACGTCTTAGAACATCCAATCAGAACATAGCCCTGTAGCATGAAGCACAATATTTTTGCATAAGCATTATAGAAGCTTAATATAACCTTAGTATTCCCTACACAGAGGCAAGAAAGCACAAATAACGGTATGTGGGCAAGAATTGTAGAGTACTGCTCTGTCAACGTCACTAGCTGACAGCAATTATAACACATCATGCAGCAGTGTGATGTAAGAAATGGAAGACTACAACGGTGAGGTTTAGGATCTTAACAGCTGGAAGGAAGTCCTGACCAGGAACTCCTTGTCAATACAAAACAAAGAACAAAGCCTTGCAACATGAGGAGAGAAGTCTGTCAGCGCACTTACTGTTTTTTTCAGCATTTTCACAGCATAGTGCTTCTGGGTGCCTTTCTGACGGCATCGGTACACAACTGATGTGGCTCCCCTGTAAGTGAAGAAGATAGCAAGAGACTCAGTTACAAAAAGTTCCATTCAATTAATGTTCATCTCACTACCCTTTAAAACTTTGTAAAAAGTTTTTGAAGAAATCTTACAATACACTAGGATATATATTAAAACTACTCTTCAATTTATTTTAATATGTAATTGATTTGCAGAACTCAATTTTCTGTAACCATTAATCCAGATATCAGTGTAACAAAATCCATAACAAATCATTCTAAGTTGGTTATTTCCCAGCAGACACACAATGTCATAAGACATTAATGTTACGTTAGATTTAGGTTATGACGTCAGGTGACAAAAATTTATTGTCTAGCCAGCATCTAAGGATGTTATTTTGATGTCAACTCAATTTTCATTTTCAAACTAAATCCAACGTCCCTGACGTTTGGATACAACGTCAATATGATGTGAACACTGTGAACACTTGATGTGAACACTTCTTACTGCTAGAAGCCATCTTTTTTAACAAATACTTATTATTTTGTAGAAATCCTTACAAATTTGTTCAGAATTTGTTAAAGTTATGAAGTGTAAATCAACAGCATTTATTTGCAAAACATATATAACAATACATTTTTAACCTAACATACTGTAAAAAAAATTAAGCTAGTATGAAGAAAAAACAATCCTTATTTCCTTTTTCTTTTTCTTCTTAACTTTTGAAAACATCAGCTGCACTAATCTAAAATTATTTGTCAGTAATACAAAAAACATTTAGTTGAGTTAACTATATTAGTTTTCTGGAGAGGTGAACTGCTTTGTAACAAAACTTTTTAAGTTGTGCCAACTGAACATTTTTGTCTGCAGAACTGGAATGCCTGAAATTGAGTGAACAAAAAAATTTAATCCCTAGTTCCTTTTGTTTTTTTATGTGTTCTCAACGTTTGAAAACTGACCTAAAATGTCTGAAGTTGTGTGAACAAAAAGCTTATTTGGAAATTAGTTTTAAGAAATAATACATTATCAGAACAAACAAACATAGTTCAACTGAAAAAATACTAAAACAGAGACAAATGTATTTATTAGACAGAATTAGAAACAGGACAGGAGGCAAAACAACAAAAACGGTAAACAACACAAAGATCAAAACATGACAGGACAAATCATTTTGTAGCATGTGTCTTTATAGTCCTAAGCTGCGTCCCAAATGGCACACTATACACTTTGTACTTATGCACTTACACACTCAACAGGATAGTATATGTATACATTTTTTTTTCTAAGCGGAAATTTAAACCGTTTCCCTGATGACGTTTGACAGTTGCCAAATCAGTGAAATAAACGACCGAATTATCAAATAATACCTGCCGTGAGTATTACCGCATTCACCTTTGGTAGGCGCTATAATCACTCTCGTAGGAGAATTTTGCTTTCACCATCCAAATTAAATAAAGTTATTCAACATGTGCGTCCGATAGCTCCGCCCCTTCCGCTACGTAAGCAAACCTGCGGTCGTTGAGTGCGTGAAGTGTCCATCATTCCACACTACATTTTAGCGGCTGAATGAGTGCATCATCCGGGTAATTAAAGTGCTCTTATTATTTTTAGAGTTTTTAGTGTGAACACACTTCTTACACTATTTATACTACAAAATAGCGTAGAATAGTGCATAAGTATGAGATTTGGGACACAGCTCTAGTATTCAGTCCATCATGAGCTTCCAGCTGTGTGTGTGTAATCAGGAGGAACCGGAAACTGTTGTGTGTAAGGTGCATGATGGGAGTTGAAGGCTTTTAAAATATCCTGTGTGTAGTTCTACAGCAATATGCACTGGCTAAATCACTGGTGATTGTGACAGTATGGCTCTAAACATAGTATAAGACTTTTTTGTGTTCTCAAGTAAATAAAAACAGAAAGTTCATAAGGCTTGAAGAAAGAACAGAGTGAGTAAATGATGATAAATGATCAGTTTTGGACAGGGATGTCAAAATTAATTGTTTCTTCAGTGCACCGTGATGCAGATAGGGACATTTTGATATCGGTTCAGTAATAGATCATAACCGTTATTACATACTAATGTCAGTTATCTCCTATGCACGATGTTGCAGTAGAATACTATGGCAAAGGAGGCAAGGGCAAATAAATAAAATCCTCTTACTACTTAAAAGGTAGATAATTATGCACAATTCTGCTGTTTGTGAGTTTCCTGGAAATTTTTTCATTGACACTGAAGAAGGCACAGCACACGAGCCGCATTTTCAATACTAGGGAGAGATGCTGTAAAAATCCATCTCTGCCTCCCTTTCACACTTTGGACATTTGACCCGCTGGCGTGTTTGTGAGGTAACTTTTCCTCTCCTCTTGGCTGTTGAAGCGATACTTGTGGATCCAGACACGAGCATGCCTGAGGTGCAAGTTTTCTCCACTTTGTCTATTATGGAATACCTTTGATAATTGCGTATTATGCGCATACAGACTGTAACTGCGGCTGTTCCTCCCACGTCAGTCATCGGTTAACAGTGCTTTCATTTCTAAAGCCAATCGCAGCCCTTACTGTTGAGCGGGTGAAGACAACGACGAATCATCGATGAAGACAGTGGTCAAAAATGAAGCGGGATAATATTTACATTAGTTTATTTGCTATAAATGCTCATGTTGTCTTCTGTGCATGTAGTGGAGTTTTGTTAAAAACATTCAAAAAGACTTTTCTTTGAGCAGGTAAAATTAAATGTACAGCTCATATATCTTACTGCTTGTATTAAAGGACAATATTGTATTACAATTACCTTTTGTATATATATATATAAAGATTGAATGGAAAGCATTGTCAATGCACCATGATATCGAATTGAACCAAATCGATGACAGGATAATTGTAACCGAACCGTGAGACCAGTGTAGGTTCACACCCCTAGTTTTGGATACACTATCCCTTTAGTTATTTTTTACAGGAAACCTCCAAAACAGGAGCATCAATAATAATAGTAACTCCTACCACCACAAAAAGGAAAAATAAATCCTGCAATACTTTACTGAAGTAAAATATAAAATAGTTAAAATTTTATTGGAAAAAGTCAAAGCACTACTGGTAGTTGTCACTAAACTCCTTACTCCTCCTGTGTGAAACACCACTGAAAAGCCACAAAAAAAAGAAGCAAGCTAAAATTCTAAGTATCATGAATGGCAAATTATATTTTTCCCCTTCACGAGTTCTTTTGGTAATAATACTTAAGCCTCATTCACACAACGAGCGATTTGCAGCAGCAAAGCGACAAGCAACTGCTGAGCTACTTCCGGTGACCTCCATCTATGCGAGCAACAGCGTTGGCAACCAGGTGCATGTCGAGTGACGTGACAAAGTTGAGAATCCTTCATCTTTATGCAAATTAAGAGTGAATTTTTTTGAGCGACAGCTAACAGGAGCATCATTAGAGCTCACGTGATCCTCTCTTAGCTCACTCAGAGGCCGGTTGTGTTCTCCGTGCTGTAGACCTACATAGACCTGCATTTGCAGCAGCTCGCCATCCAGAGCGACAGGCAGCTACAAAGTCACCATAGATATATGCAGTAACAGTAGATATCGCATACGGACCCTGAACATGCGTCAATAGCGCCGCTACATTTGTACAGTGCTCCTAGCACAAATGTCATTCAACCGCACTAGTCAACACTAGCTATGTTTCCATCCACCTATTTTATGCCCATTTTGCATATGCGCATAAAAAAAACAGTTGATGGAAACGCCATGATGGGCATAAATTTTGAAAATGCGCATAAAAAACTTTTGCGCCTAACTGGGTAGGATAAACTTTTTATTCGATAAGAAAAGATGAGCATAAACTGTGATGGAAACACTTTTATCACACAAACTCCAGCATGCGCATTAAAAAAGGTCATGTGATTTTGTTAAAAGAGATCATGTGATACTTAAATTGTGTATGAATGGATAAAACGTCAGGCTGAGCACATTATAAAACATCTGAAATGTTGTATTTGGTCATTAAACGCCTTACCATTTCAGTATTATTGTTATTATATTATTAATGACCTCCAGAATCAAGAGCGCCTGTGCTCCGCGTCTGACACCTTCAAACGCCACTGCGCGCTCACTGCTTGTCAGGATTGTCTTCTAAGGCGCATTCATTTAGAAAAGATTGATGCAGCTTCTCCTACTGCAGCAAATGCAGTTTTTACTGTTGATATTTGGTGCCAGTAAATCAGGACGCGACGATTTTGTCTGCTTTGACTCGTTGGATTGAAACGATGCTTCATTCGCACAACTTTTATGCGATAATCCGGTTTTGCGCATAAAGTTTATTCGCATTTTTGGATGGAAACATAGCTACAGTGTCAACTTGAAGATGCTGGACTTTAGCGCTGTGTATGGGTGTAGTAATGAGCTAACAAAGAAAACAAACCATAAAGGCAGAACATTTCATTGGTAAGATTTCGTTTTGTACATTTTTGTTTGTTACAAACTTTTGTGCTAAATATTGATGATCATACAGTCACTTTCTGCAATGACCATAAGGTAAAGTAGCATCAACTTGCACTAATTACCAGGCTTATGCAAGTTTTGTTGAATAAAACATGTATAAAACATAAATAAAATATGACAACAAAATGCTGTGGTGCCAGACTTATTGTCAGCTACAGTAATTGATCGAGTCGTTCATAAAGGAGATTAATTCACAAACGAATCAATCCCTTCGTTAGAATTAGATGTGAAAGCAGGAGAGGGTGTGTGTTTCAGGACACGGATTAGATCAAATTTAACAGGGATGGTGGATAGTACATTTCCATGCACACAAGCACACACTTTTTGTCAGCAATGCCTGTGCGGTCACTTATCCATCAATGTAGAAAAGTAATGTAAAATTATAATTTTCGTAATTAAAAAAAAAAATTGCATACTGACCACCAGGAAAACTCCCGGTCATAGATATATGTATATACGTTTATATCTCTGACTCTAGATGGTCACAGTCCTCAACTACAGCTTGGTCCCTCATTTATCTCAAATAATGGGGGTTTTGGACA